ATGAGGAAAATGCCAAGACAAAAGAAAACCGGAGAGCTGCAGCAGATAGTCTCGCCGGATGAGCCACTTCTTGCTATAAGGAATGAATCATCTTGGACCGTTTACGTTTGCAGCAACGAGCAATCGAAATCTCCTAGTGCCTATCGACTACCTAACAAAGCTCATCTCTCATTACATAGACTCTACCTGATACCGGCACCACAAAACTATAGAAGCTTGTTGTAGAGAAGATTGTCTTGACATACTCGGGCGTCCCGGTAAAGATCATTAGTAATCAGAAACAAAGGTTTGCCGCAGAATCTCTGAAAGAAGCGTTGTTATTGGACAGTCATCCGACTGACCATATCTTTGCGCTGTGTATTGATAGACCGCGTTTTATGCCGTTTTTAAGAATCACCATCGTACGAACGAGGGGGTCAATAAATTGATCATATGACATTAAAAACTTCATTCACATTTTAGCAGAAATAGGACTTAACATTCAATTGTAAGAATATAATTATGCTTAATTTCTAAATTTAGACTATCCAAGCAGTGATAATAGTATTTTCTCCTCAAATGTTCTATCAAATAGCATCCAGACGGCCCGCTAGCCTTGCTTGTGGTTCGGTACTGTTTGGAAGGTAAACCGAGCATCAGAGAACAACTTCCCCTGCTTTTGATCGAGATTAATATAGACGGTGCCACCTGATGCTTCTGTTTTGGTTCGTATACAAAGTGTTCTGCGGAAATATAGATCCATATTAAAGGCATAAACATTTCGTCAACCGTCGAATAACATTGCAATGTTGGCTAACATTTTCAAATACCACAAATCCATACAGCTAAGGACGATACCTTCTGCTGTCCGTAGCCCTCACATACGATCCATTGTTTCAATCATCATTCGCTCTCAGCGAAGTGAACACTATGGTTGAAAACAGCCAATTTATGGATATATTATCGTCCAGAGTGACGATCTGTCCGTACCGGTAGGGAATGGACTAATTTGCTAATCACTCCAAACTAGTAATGTGAGGAGTTCATCGCACTACTGACTCAGCCTCAGTCTACATCAAAGTCATGGCGTAAATTAAATAAGCGAACAATAACGCTGAGACAGATATAGGGTAGGGTTGGTAATAATCTACTAACACCGTGGTATTGCCGGTTTGGACTGAACTAAAAATCAGTTTCGGTCCATATCGGTATGAACAGATTACCACTCTAGACGGTGACATACATAATGTGCAAACACTGAAATTCGAACGTAATTCTAATTCGAAATTAGTCAAAGATTATATTTTAGCTGCTTTGCCCGTTTTTGACGACTCCCCGATGAC